TTTTATTAATAAATAAAAGTTCTTTACAACAAAAAAGTTTAACGAACATATTACATTAAAAGAAAATCATTACCAAAGTTGGTCGAGAGATTCAAAATATTGTAACACGAAAATTAAAAGCTTCCATAACTTTTGCGTAAAGTTTTCATTTGATAACTAAAATTAGTTGACCCTGGAACATAAAGTGCCGAATCCTTAATCGATGATTTTATCTATCATGCACCACGTTATCGATATAAGAAATGTTCGAGTTTAGTGGCAAATGAATGTGTGGAAACTGAGTTTGTGTTCAGCAAAAGAAAAACTTGGCTCCTTGGGAATAACTGATAAAACAAAGGAGAGATTAAAAAAAAAAGATCTTGGAATATACAAGTTTTTTTTGTGAACTTTTATATTTTACTAACCTTTAAAGCAATTTTGCTTACGTCATTTTTGACTTAATGGCAACGAGTTTGACGTAATAGTTTTACAACTTTGGTAACATTTCGTCAAACAACATTAATTTGTAGTACCTAATATTAAACAATCTCTAATAAAATTGTCAACTGTTTGATATCAAAAAGACTTGATCGCCCTTTATTTGATTATCAATGATAAGGTTGACTCCTGAGAAGTACCAGAAAAATTTCTTACAAAAAGGAAATCAGCCGGTCGACATCACTAGTTTTATCAAGTGGAAAAGAATTATTTTATTTTATTAGTTGTGAAAATGCTTTTTTTACAGAACAGAAAAGAAATAATTTAGTATTAATTCTTGCTCTTGTTCTTATGAGCGAAGCACTGAAATATTAAACAATTAATTACAGCCGAACCTTGGTCACAGCGGACCTCTTCCATAGTGGACTATAATTAAATTCTTGTCGTAACGGATTTTTAAAATTTTTGCTTCACATATAAAAACATAAATTTTTCTTATGTGTCCCCGTTCATCCGCTGACAAGGTTTGACTGTAATTAACTAGTTAGTTAACTACGTAACCACCTGTTGTATAATAAACTTTTATGTTGATCTTTCCTTTTGAAAAATCAAGTATCTTTTGTTCCACTAATTTAATTAATAAGTATAATAAATTAAATATAAATATTAAAGTGCCGGCCGATCGTATTTTAAACATGTGACCTAGCTTCTTTCGTCTTCACATCATCCTCGTTACTAAAGTTAGCATTAATGATGAGCATAAAACTTGTAATGTTGAGTTGTGGAGTAAAGAATTTTATGACCAAAGTAGAGATTGTTTAATTCTCCTATTCACAATGTTAATAATAGATTATTCCGAAGTAACTCCGAGCAATATTTAGTTGTAACAAGTAAATCGCAGAAATTCACATTTAAATTTAGAAATATTTAAATATTAATATAGTAACAATACAATACAATATATTAACAACGACCCGTGTGATTTGTTCATCCACTAACCGTGAATGGCCTGATTATTTGTACTACATTATTTAGTTTCATTTATAAATTTTCAATTCCAAAAATTTTTCAATTTCAATTTTCAATTTACAATTTAATTTCAATTTCAATCTTTTATCCCTCCCTTCCTTCCTTTATTATTCACTCCTTCCTTTATTCATTCACTCATTTATTCATTTCACACCTTCCTTATTTTACAAAAAAAAAAAAAGTATGAAAATACTTTCATTAATCAGCTTAATATTAACTATAACAACAACAACAACAAATGTCGTGATAGTAAATGCTCAAACTGCAAAACTTGGACAATGGGATTTTGTAGGTGATTCTGGAATATCAACTATGCATGGAATACTTTCACCAAATACCAACAAGGTCCTCTTCATCGAACGTGCACAGCAAATCACCAAGGTGACTATTGATAATAAACCCTCTTTCACTGTAGAATATGATCTTGACACAAATCAATATAGAGCATTGACCACAATATCAAACACATTTTGTTCGGCTGGATCATATCTGCCAAACGGGGTAAGTAATAAAATAGTTATTTAATGTTAATTAACAAATTTTTCTATTTATTAAAAAAAAAATTTTTTTTTTTTTTTTCAAATTAAAAAAAAGACTGTTATGAATGTGGGAGGTGCAGAAGCAGGGAAAACCGCAGTTCAAGGATTCAACAGTATTCGATTATTTGATCCATGCGATGATGGAACATGTGACTGGAAGGAATATGGTTATAAACTTGCTAAAAATCGATGGTACCCTTCAGTTGAACAGTTGGCCGATGGTTCATTATTTATATTGGGAGGAGCAAATGTAGGCACTGGGTTGAATGATGAAAGAAAAAACGTGCCAAGCTATGAGTTTTACCCACCAAAAGGCGACCCAGTCGACTTTCCTTTCCTGGTAGAGACATTACCATACAATCTATACCCCACTGTACATCTTCTTCCCAACAAAAATCTTTTCATAATGGCAAATAAAGCTTCCATCATACTTGATACAACCACCTGGAAAACTGCTAAACTTCCTGATATTCCTGGTCCACCAAGACATTATCCATTAACTGCCGGCACAACACTACTACCATTAAGTCCTGACAATAACTATGATCCAGAAGTACTTGTTTGTGGAGGTTCTAATGAAAATCCAAAAGTAATAAATGACGGCTATGGTGAAAAATCATGTGGACGTATTTCTCCTTTATCTGCTAATCCTAAATGGGATATGGAAGATATGGAATATGGACGTATAATGCCGGACATTGTACTTATGGCTGATGGGAATACGTTGATTCTTAATGGATGTTCAAGAGGAAAAGCCGGATTTGATATAGGAAAGGATCCAATTCTCGTACCTGTTATTTATAAACCAAATGGCGTTAAAGGATCTCGCATGACAACAATGCAACCCTCGTATATTCCTAGAATGTATCATTCCATTGCATTCACGATCCCATCATCTCAAGTTCTTGTTTCCGGCTCTAATCCTAACGGTAGAGTCACTGAGACTTCAGCATTCCCAACAGAATATCGTGTTGAAATATTTTCCCCGCCGTTCCTATTCACTGGTTTACCACAACCAGAAATCACGAATGCACCTAAAACTTTAAAATACGGTCAAAATTTTCAAATCGATGTCACAATATATAAAGGTGACAACAAACCTAAAATCACATCTAATCTTCTTAATTCTGGATTTGTTACTCACTCGACGCATATGAGTCAACGACAAATTTTCATGGAAGTTGTTGAATACAACGAGGATACTGGAAAGCTTACTCTAAAAGCACCACCAGATAGTGGTGTAGCACCACCTGGACCTTACTTATTATTTGTTGTAAGTGATGGTGTTCCATCGGTAGGTGTTTGGGTTAGAGTATAATTTTTTATAAATTTTTGGGGGATCAAATTTATTATTTTTATAAATAAAAAAATAGAATATAAATATTTAATTTTAATTTGGGTTGTAAAATAAAATAAAAAATATGATTATACAAAATTTGTTATTTCTCAAGTAATAAATTATTATTGATTAAAAAATCATCTAGAGTTTTTTCATATTCTTGCTTATGAGTTAACCAATGTCTAACATGTTCACTATCTTCAAATCTTAAAGTCGTAGTCTTGAATCCCGATCTTTTACTTTTTTCAATTATATCTTCTATTTTCTTGTAAGGAATCAATTTATCAGCTTTGGAATAAATAAAAAGTCTTGGGCATGCTGTACCTATTCTTGCTATTGTGTCCTTATTCCTTCCTTCCTCGACTTTTATTTTATTATTGTTGTTGTTGTTGAGAAGTGAATCAGCAATATAATTAATAAACAATTTCTTTTTTTTGATAAAACTTAAAATTAACAAAATTGGATAACCAAAGAAAAGTAAAATTTCCACAATTATGAAAATTAAAATTTTCTTTAATAAATTAGTTTCAGCAACGGTATAAACTTTGTAAAGCCCAAATACTCCAGTAGTTCCAGGTCCAGAATCAAGTATTACTGCGTCATAACTCAAATTGAAATTGTGTTTTTTACAAGCATTTATTAATGCAACCATTCCCATTGTTCCACCATTTGAAAATGCATGTGCAATAACTAAAGGTTTCTTCTCATTCGAAGCCAAAGAAGAAGATGATAAAACACCAAATTCTTGTAGAAATGGAATAAAACTTTCAGTTAAATTTTCAGCTGATAAAGGATAATAAAAATAAGGAAAAATAGGTGCAACGTAATAAAGAATGTGAAATTTTTTTTCTCCTTTTTCATCTTTATAATTTCTCCAATATGAAGCACATTTTGATACATTTTTTATTGAACTATTTGACCATCCAAACATTATAACAACCGATGATGATGATGGTGATGATTCATTATTACTATCGTCGTCATTGTTGTTGTTGTTGTTAGATCTTCTTTCAATATAAAGTGGAAAATTTTTTTTCGGTTTAATTTTTTCAATAATTATTTGACTATTATCCTGAGGATTCATTTTACCGCCGTACAACCCATAAAATTTAATTTTTTGGAAAAGATCTATTATAAATTTTAGATGACCTTTCTAATTTAAGTAATCAGATTTATTATTAGAGATTTTCTTTATCACGGGAAAATTGTAAAGCCGTCATTCCGAGATTTTACAATTTACATATAGGCATATATGAAATGTTTTAACTTTGAAGCTTTATAACTCAAAACTTTTCTAATAAAAAGAAAAAAAGTAAACCGATGGAAATGAAGCTTAGGTTTTTAGCTTTATCTTTCTTTTTAAACAAGGAGCCATAAGCTTTTAAGTCATGTAATATCCATTGACCGTTATAGATGTCCTGCACCACTATATTACTATGAAACATTCGTTTTACATCAATTAGATTAAAAAAATTTGTCGCGCAAAAAACGAAAATTTTTTGGTCGAATAAAAAAATGAAATATCGTGCGATCCACATATTGGGCTTTTTGAATTACATGACCAAATTTGGTAGTGACTATTTTTATTTCCATTTAGGAAATCCTACCTTTGGCTTGCGACTTCAGAAGAAACAAGTTGAGTAGGTAACGGTATAGTAACAATATACATATATATTGTTACTTATGGTAGACTGTTACCTACTTGTCGTACGATTTGTTCATACTTTTAGGCTTGAAGAATTCGTGATTGTTTTCTCATTCGAGGCCGACTGATGGCCCATTCTGGGTTCATGGAAGAATTCACATTTGCGTTGTGCTTTAGGTACTACGAGTTTGAATTTGCATCGTACTTTTAGTGATCGTTATTGACGTCCATAACGATGGACTTTGGTGACGCTATTGACTTCGATACTAGGATGAGGCACGAAGTGCCGAATTCTTATCTTCACTTGGTGATACGTAAAAGCACAATTTTTTCTTACTTCTTCCTTACATTATCCTACCTTTGCGTACCACTGAAAGTGTACTATGTTTTGGAGCCCTGGAGCCTTTCTCGTGTAGTTGATGCTTTTGAGTATCATTTTTTCATGTTAAAAAATTGATTATACTATTGCGTATCACTTTTACATATTACTTTGAATCATATTTTTATGTAATAATTTTTGATTTGAATTTTTTTTGTACATTTATTGTAAGAGACGACAAAAAAATTCCCTCTTACCTAAGATGAATGGTTAGTTGAATGTAGCATATGTCTCGCAAATCTAGAAATAACAGACGCAAAACTCAAGGTAGATTTAATACAAATCCTATGCAATATTTACAATTTCAAAACCGGGATAAATATGATCACATTATTCATGAAGGCCATATAACTGTCATAAATAAGAAGACACAAGATGTAAAGGAGGTATTTGATTATAGGTATTTAGAGGTAAATAATCTCGATTCAAATATTCTCAGCATGTAGTGGATGTGTAATCCAAAAAAATTGGTGATCATTAATGCGAAAGTAAATGCAATTATTATTATATATGTGAATCGACTTTCTAGGTACATATAACAATTAGTTTTCTTCAAAATGCATGGAGTTTCTTTTCCGCATCTAGCACATACTAAAATGGCACAAAAAATATATTGACTAATTTATTAATAAACAGATATGACAACTTGATAACAACTGTCTATTTTCTAGGGAATTGACAGTTGAACTACTTTCTACTTTTTGACCCGATTTATTAGATGGAGGCGCATTATATAACAAACTAATATTAACTAACAGAATATTCCGTAAAATTAATAAAGACTCCACGAACTTTGCTACCATAGTTGGGGTCGAATATTGGACTGGTATTTCTGCTTCGTGGAGATGATAATAGCGATGCACATCAAGTGAATCCCGAATAAGAACATTTAAATCTATTTTTCTTCCCGCTATTTGTCCCCAATTATTCCAAATTCATTCTTGATAGGTTTACAACTTTTGCGGACCCAAAACATGCCATCATTTGCCTCTCTCCATAGTTTTACCCATCATCTCTTTCTTTTTGCGCTGTACACAATAAACGTGAGCATTCAGTGTAGACCAATTCATTGCCTTTATCCCTATGTCTCATTACAAACATAACATCAGGTCACTTTCCTGATCGATCACTCCCTCTCCTAACTGCACTGGTACTACTCTGTCGTTCAAAATTGCTAAGAAATGAAGATGTCCATAAATAAAGACTTTTTAACGAGGCACGAACTGCAGGCAAGATTATATTAGTAACATAAGCACCTTCATTTAATTTTTCTACAAAATTGGATTCAAATGCAGGGTTTTTCCAAGCATCGTGCCTAATGATAAGATTATTTAATGAGTAAATTCTTTTAACAGAACCCCCAAAAACTCTATAATTTTATATGTCCAGATTGGAATTCTCACAATGCATCTAGAATCCTTTCAGCAACATTAGCAAGCTCTTCATTGGTTTCCTTCCACATCCCATCATGTAAAAGATTTTGTGGTAATCTGAATCCAATATCATCGGTAAAATTCATTACATCTCCTATGCAATATTGATAGAAGGGAGGGCGCCATATGTTGAAGTGGTTCCTAATAAATTAACGTTTTGTAATGCTTTTTGTGAGTAATTCAATGAAATAATATGGAGATTCGATCTGGTGCTGATCCCACCTTCCCGGGAAAATCAGACCTTACGAGTTTATAATACCAACCATAAATATATTTTGCAATTCATCTGGCAAGAGACGTATAATATCTGAATCATCACTAATAATTTGATTTTCCAGAGGGTCATTCCAAGGAAGTTCCGAAACTGCGACCTCCCTAATTCTCCTATACAATTCCAAAGACAACGCCGATGTGTCTTTTTTCAATTTTCTTTTCAACTTAGTTATATTTTCCGAGATTTGAATTAAGGATTTCCTCATCTGTTGTTACTGCTCTGATATTTTTCAAACTACGAACGATTTTGATAAGAGACTTTAAACTAGTGCAGATATAAATTGTTAGTTTGGAATTCCAAATTAATGCTGAAAATATTTTAAAGGGCGCATGCGCTGTCAGATTATAACCAAAGCTCTCTCTTTGTGAGGTTAGCTACTCCATCACGCAGATAGAACTTTGTGTGATACTAAATTATCAACATAAAACCAAGCATAGGCTTTCAACTTAAACATCCCTCCCGCGGTGAGGAAATTCCTGGCGTGGGACTAAATGGAATGCTTAAGCTGATATGTTTGTTTTTTCGGAGGTATCACTTCCGCGCTATTCATCATTCAAAAATATTAATACAGATATATTTTTAATGACTTACTTCTGAGAGAATTTCAAGGAGAGTCACATAACGTGAAGAATCTCTGTTATAATTAATTATTAGTGGATGCTACAGCTTGTTCTATAAGACTTCTTAATTCGCCTTCGGTCATCCATGGATTCTCTTTCATTGCTAAATAAATAACAGAACCCGCTGTTATATCTCCTCCTTCAGCAGTTGTTAGGAAATTATAGATTTTAGTAAATAAAACAGTAAGCATGTTTAAGTTAAATTCAAATATAACTCTTGAATTAATTGAATTAATGATAATAAAAATCAAAAGGCGATTAATGCCCATAAACTCGATATACTTCCCTTTTAAACGTTTTCCTTCCCGTATATTCCTCTAATATCGAATGAATAATGTAGAGAATAAAGAATGTATTTACGTCATAATTAATCGAATTTGGTTAATCGCACAAATAAATCATATGCATTGAAATTTTGAATGATTTTTATTGCACAACCCATTAAAATGTCATACGATATAATTGATTATCTGATTGATTATTGGATAGATATAAAAGAATCATGTGCGTATTACAAGATACAAATATTAATTGATTTATAAATACTTATCTACAATTATGCTTCCACTGTTATGGTTTTATTCGGAAATTTAAGAGCATGATTCCAAGGGATAGGTGATGTGAAGCATTGAGTTTTTAACTCCTGAATTGGTTCTGAATTTTCAGGATAAGCTTCTAATACCTCATCAATAGAAGTTCCTGGCTCTTTTAAATTATCGCAATGCAAATAATATATCTTTTTACTTTGATTATCAAACCACCACTTACCTTGTAAATTCATATGATTTTTTCTACATATTGGACAGTACCAATAAGTATTACTTTGATGCTCGTCTTCCTTATCTACACTATGATCTTTGTCCAATTTTGGAGAATTAGTGAATGCATGGTTAATTTGTTAATAACTTGATCACACTCCTCTTTTGATAGCATCTTCTTGAATGGAAAGAGCTTTGGAAGGGTATTAGATGGTGGTATACTTAACTCGGTTCCTGATTTTTTTTTTGGCTCAGCTGAAATACTTACTTCAGATTTTGAATTAGTAGACTTTTTAGGAAAATGATTTATAATATTTTGAATTTGTGCATCTGTTAGTCTAGAAATAGCATCAGCACTATACATAGTGTGTTCAATTTTATCTATTCCTATCCCTTTAAATAATGTATAGATGTTTTTAGCTTTTTGGGTCATCTCATGCAAATATTCTCTCTTAACACCAGGAAGGTATGGTTCCATTTCATCATAAAACTGTGTTCTTGCCTTTTGACCATTAATATTTTTTTTTGAACTAATGTCTATGGCCTTTCCTCACTATAATAATACCAACGTAAAATTTCTTTTTGACCAGTTTTTAACCTTTTCAAATGTAGTGCAGAACCTGGAGTCAGATAATCCCCATCTAACATATTTTCAGTAATTCGTTTATCAGATATAGGATTAGAAAGGCTTTTCTTGTTGATAAATGCAGATAATTCATGCATTAAACCTTGTTCTACTTTTTGATTATAGGGAATTTTTATTTCGGAAGAAATGGTACCTTGTGCCTAATTAATAATAGGCACTTCTGAAATATCCTGATTGATAGGCATTTGCTCTGATTCAATAGAAGGAGTATCCTGAGAAGTTAGGAGTACCTCTTGAGTCCAAGAAATGGAATCTTCGTTATTTCGTAATAGTTTCTTTTCCCTGTTTCTATCTCTCATTATATCACTAAGCTTTTCCTTTGCTTTTCGATCCAGAAAATCATTGATCTCCTTATCTTCTAACGATTTAGTCTCTGTGTAGATAGATGATGTAGAACATTGTGCTATCAACTTCTGACATACATCAGAATTAGACACATTATCAGATGTATTTTCCATCTGTTCTGGAGTATTGTCAGAATTTATTTCAGAAGAAATGGTGTTCTGTGTTTGCTCTAAAGGCTTGGAATCAATAGATTGTTTGTTATGCAAAATCCTCTCATTAGAGGGATCTTCATTAGGTGATGAATTAGGCGAGATATTTTCAGTTGTGCTGGCTCCACCAATAGAAGATGTGTCTTGCACATTAGTAATGACTTGAGTTTGCTGTTTGAGCTCCTCAAAATAGTGCCTTAATTTAGCTAATTCAGCTTTTAGCTCAACATTTCCAGCTTCGCATCTGGCACTTTCCTCCATAGCATGTTCTGCAATTCTACTTCGAGCTCATCCTTTTCTTTCGCAATCTGTTCCAATTCTTTGATTCTAGCCACAAGTCTGGCATTCTCCTGTTTCAATAAATCTAGTTCGGATTTGGTGTTTCCCATTGTTTTATATAAGATGCAGATATGTTCAAAAGTTTATTTATATGAATACCGCAACAAAATGTCTCAATTGGAAATGAGTGAGATTCATGATCAGGCTTTTTTCCCTGAGCCAGATACCCACTATTATAATATTATAATTACCAGATTAAATGTCATGCATAAAAAAAACCATGACAAAATGTTACAATCGTAAAAATTATTGATATGTATTCAGGAGTATACATGCCATATATATTTTTGTATAATTACAAATAGCACAAATGTACTGGAGAAAATATTCATGTCTTACAAACCAATATAACCCGCAAAATGGCTGCCACAAGTGAAAAATAAATAGCTACTTTATTTATTGAATTTATTACACTGAAAAAAGCATCCATAAATGTACATTTCTCCCAGAAGTAATAAGTCTAGTCATCAGGATCTTAAAAATTAAATTTACATCACATTGATTTGCATTTATCAGCTATATTCTATTGTACTACTTTTAAATTGAGTTGTACAACTTTAAATATCGATTAACATCACATTGTTAAACGAAATTAGTTTTACAACGCAAATTATCCCTTAACAGTCAAATGATATGTCACAGGTAGGGATGGGGCGGTTCCGCTCCGCTCCGTTCGGCTCTTGTGGAGCGCCGCTCTATAGGTGGAGCGGTTCTTAGAGCCGCTCTCCCTTACACAAAAATCAAAATGTTTCACAGAAAAAAAAATACAA